AGAGTAAATAAACTGGCAAATAAAATAAAATCTAAATAGATAAACACAATTTTGTCAAGTAAACTTTTGCTTACAGCTTAATCTTAATCCGGTCAATCTTTGTGGAGATAATATCTTGGTTTCTCGAACAGGGTGAGTAGCTATAACTTTGTTACCTACAGTGAATCGTACAAGAACCCACAAAGACCGGCTTGTGGCGCTCGTCCGTAAGGGCGCTTCATGTGTACTCGTAATGAAACTTATTTTGTATGCACGTGGAGTAATAACGGGGGTGGGAAAAGGGTCCCAAGCCGAACCTGGAATGGGTTATCAAATAAATTGAAAACTGGCATAGTATTTTGTCGTTCCGCCCATGAACAATAGCGTTTTTTCGCTGGTGTTGAAAGGAGCAATTAGGCACACTTTTCACAAGACTGCTATGCAAAAGACTGTGATAATTACTATATTGATCCTAGATTGAAAATTGATAGATTTAAAAGGATAAAAAAAATGACATATTAAAAAATATATACAACCTTTTATCTTCTTACAAGAACGGATTTAGAAAGTTGCATCGCCGATTGATAGTGATTAAAAAGAAGAAATAAAGGTATCGATGGCTTAAACTTAATTGACAAGTTGAATCGCATGTAGAACGCATGAAGTAAAATTGGAGGCTTTACTTTGATTCTTCTAAACTCTTATTGTGTCTCAAAAGCGTTGCTTAATGCTAGTCTCTGATATGTATTATGAAGGAATGTAATATTCTGATCAGTAATTGCAAAGTTTTTACATTTACAGACGACAATGCATTAGTCATTCATGGGATAACTGTTAGCTGAGGTTCAAAAAGGTTTACGAACTATTATGAAATAGCTTCAAAGTAATTTTGAAGTGAAATATTTCTTAAACTAAAAACATTATTTGTAGTATAATACGTAAAAATTCAAAACTACAGATATTTTATTATTATTATTATAAGCTTTACTTGTATGTGCAAAGTATAAAGCATGACTTGTATTAAACATGCATAAATGAATCAATAATTAGGAAATTTTATTAGCAATATCAATAAAAAAAAGAAAACTATTTTGGATTTTACATTATTTATTTAAACGCACAGATAGCACATAAACTCATTTAAGAAACTTTAAGAGAAATATAATTTACCGTCAAATAGTTCTTTTTTCTTCCTTAATCTGACGGATTGCACGTCGTATCAATATTCCTTCAAGTAGAAGTGATTTTTCGATGCACCCGATTCCTCCATTTGGAATCATTCATGCGAAAATTTATTTGCGTTATAGATTGCGAATCCATCACATCCTTTGGGAATGAATCCAATCAAAACATTATTAAGATTTTTGTAATAAATACAGATAATAATCGATAACCAATCATACAACGTGTTCATCTGAAGGACATTCTGTGTAAACAATTATTTTATTTGCTTGCAAAATTAATTTTATTTTATTAATTAGTAATTTAATTTAAAAAAGAAATTATAGTATGTCTGGTTGAATGAAATATATATATATGTTAAAACCATTAATAAATAAATACATTTATGCAAGATAAGAGTAAAAAAACGTGTCAACGCTAACGTGATAAGTGAGGACTTAAAATTAACAAATTCATTGTTGCCGACACCAAAGATCGAACTCAGGTTGCTCGAGTAAATATTTATTGAAGACCGGCGCCCGGACACTGAGCTCACAATAACAATTACAAATCACGATACAATAAAAAAAAATGTTCTTAATAAATTAATATGTATTTGTTATAAAAAAGGCGACAAATGAAGCAAAATTAATTATAAGACTGCTTATTAACAGTCATGTTTGCTCTAGAACACAGGAAAATAGCTAACTGAGCATCTATATTATCGACAGTAGAATTAATTAAAACAATAATTGAACGTAAAATCGTTTGAACGGCATTTCTAACTTAAATAAAGCTGCGCATATTTAAGCATTTTAACAATTTTTAAAACGTCACTGATTTAATAATATATTTATTAATTACGATATAACACTATTTTTCCAAATCATGTATTACAAATTGGTTACCTATGTCTTCCAACCTTTACTACCGCAAAAAACAAATAATAAATTATCGGCTACTAATGGAAAACTATTGTAGTACTAATAATTTTGATTTTCTTTTCAATATTTACTATCACGACTTATCATATTACTTAGGTAACTAAATATGGTAAAAATTCCGAACAGTACGTCTCGTTTTTCAAGCTAGAAAAAAAATTTAATCGATAGAGAAACGTTAATAATTAAATATTACATACATGAAAACCAAGGCAAACACTTACTTTTAATAATAAAAATATTTAAAACTTGTTATTTTCACTAAATAAATCCGCCATTTTGTGTTTGACAACATGTATAAATTTACGAATTCACACACTTTTCCAAATTATAACCTTCGCATTATTAAAAAAGAGTCTTTAAAAATACTAAAAGTACTGTTACACTAAAGTTTTCTGGGTGGTCATAAAAAAAGAACCTAACAACGAGTATAGAGATATAATGTATAGAGATGTAATGCCAAATATGTATAGAGATTGTTTAATTCTAAAAAATATGTAATTAAATAATATCTATAATTAATACCTAACCTAAAAATATGTAAACTGATGACAGCGATTTCATAATAGAAGTTGTTTTGTTTTCTGACCAATAGATGGCGCTGTCTCGTTCGTAAATCGCGATGTTGGGATTTTTTGTAATTAGCATAAGTCATCAGCATTTTTATGATTATATTCGTAATAATAGTACGCCGAGGTTCAGGCTAGGCGCCTCGTGCGCCAGGCCACCTCAAGTCCGTCGGATCTGTGAAGGCCCCTAAGGCCAACAGTGGCTCATCCAGCCAAAAAAAAAAAAAAAAAAAAAATGATTATATAGCTACCAAGCGAGTACGGTTGTTTTATTCTCACGTCCGTAGTGGCTTCCGATAACTGGCTTGGACATTATACATGGTCCTAATCGAGTCGGATGTATTTTTGAAATCGACTAGAAACCAATGACGGAATGTCATTGAAGGTGCGCACCGTCGATTCTTGTGAATCGATTGAGTGCAATGCTCTACATATGTGCAAAAGTGTGTGTATCAGCCGCAATCAATCGAGGAGTCTGAAGCTAGAAGTGGAAGGCAGGTGGGCATCAGTGACGTCATAGCAGTACGTCACAACCTCTTCGCGTGGAGTACGAGGAAAGAGGAAGGAGAACCTGCAGCAACGGAGACATCATACGAGCTTGACGTGTGACGTCATTCTTCGGAGTAGTGTGGTTTGCAAGCAAAAACTGTGAGTACATTTTGGTGTTTAATCAGTGCAGTTTCAAGAATTAATGATTTAAATTGACAAAGGACTTAGATAAAATTTCAATAATTTTATACGGACTTAGAAAAATTAAGATAATTCGAAGTTTAAAAGAAACTTATGTATACGAGTGTTTAGTTAGTTATTAGATATTAACTTAGAATAATTTGCATAAACGTGATCCAACGGTTCCAACGTGATCTAAAGGTTCCCCACCTATGCCCAATTTTGGTTAGAATAATAAATTTTCCAAACACTTGTAAAATTTTAAGAATTTTATTAGGACTTAGAATAGTTTTCATAAAAGAGATCCAACGGGGAACCTATGCCCAATTTTGGTTTGATTAATTCTAAAACACTTGTAAAATTTTGAAAATTGTTTAAGCACTTAGAATATTTATCATATTTTGTTTTATAAAATTTCAAAATGTCGTTGTCTGCCTTAATAAAGAGTCAATTGAACTATATGTCTATGATAGACAAGGCTTATGATAATTTTAAAAAATCGCCAAAGGATCGTTTGTGTAAAGAGTCTTATTTGCTGACGAGGTTAGATTCATTAGATGAAAAATGGCAGATATTTGTTGAGACACATAAAAGAATTGCAGTAGAGTTTTCTGATCAATTGTTTGAAACAAGTTACTATAAGCAAAATGTTTATGAGAGTGTTGAGGAAACGCATATTGATTATAAGTTCGATATCAGAGAAGCCTTGTCATTGTTAAAGTCTCAATCAAATATTTCAAGTATACAGTCACATACAATTTCAAAGGCAGAGAATAATGTCAAACTGCCTAAGATTAGCATACCCATGTTTTCAGGATCATATACAGAATGGCCGACGTTTAGAGATTTATATGTTTCATTGATCCATAATAATTCTTCAATAGACGATGTGCAAAGGATGCATTATTTAAAAGGGCATCTTTGCGGTGAAGCCGAACAGCTTTTAATACATATACCTATTACAGCGGCTAATTATCTAGAATCTTGGTCTTTACTCAACAGTCGCTTTAATAATAAGAAATATTTAACAAATTGTCTATTGAAACGTTTTATGAATCAACCCAGCTTAAGTAACGAATCATGCAGTGCTATCAAAAATATGCTAGATGTTACCAATGACACTCTACATGGTTTAAAAAATTTGGGCATAAATGTAGACTCATGGGATGCAATGGTTATTTACGTAATTGGCACAAAATTGGATTCCGATTCGCGAAAATGTTGGGAATCTAAAATAAGTAACTCTGAGGAATTGCCAACGTTGAACCAATTACGAGAATTTTTAGAAACACGATTTCGGTCACTTGAATTTATGGACTCTAAATTAAAAGGTAAACAGAATATAACAACAAATCATAAACCGAAAGTGTTGCACGCTATGAATTCCGGGTCTAATGCTGTAACTAAGCTTAGTTGTATATATTGCAAAAACGAGCATAAAATATCAAACTGCAAGGGATTTTCTGCAATCGATTACGATACTCGACATAACTTTGTACAAAGGAACGGTCTATGCTTTAACTGTTTGGGTCGTAATCATTCTGCCAATTCATGTCGTTCATTTATTAGATGTCGCATTTGCAAACATAAGCACCACTCATTGCTTCACCCAAAACCAACATCAGAAGTACAAAATATTGTATCACCCAAGCCAGATTTAGCGGTGGAAGTCAAGTCAACGATGTCAAACGTAAAAGCATCGTTAGAGGAGCCTAAAAGGGCGTCAAATATAGTAGCAAGTTTCTCGCAACAAACAGTACCTAACCAGATCCTGTTAGCTACCGCAATTGTTAAAGCTGAAGCGAGAAATGGTGAAGCTCACTTGCTCAGAGCCCTGCTAGATCAGGGTTCTCAAGCGTCGTTTGTCACCGAGTCCACAGCACAGTCACTTGGTCTAAGGAAGATAGCTAGAAGGAGTCACATATCGGGAGTGGGCGGCGATAAGAGGTCATTGACTTCTAGGCACATAGTTATGATGAAAATTCAATCGCGCTGTGATCCAAGCTTCCAAATCCAAGTGCGTGCGCTTGTCTTAGTATCTATAACTAGCCTTGTTCCATCTGCGAAGATAGCCAGCGTGGACTGGCCAGAGCTAGCTAATATAACTCTAGCAGATCCTCAATTTCACACACCAAACAAAATAGATATTTTATTTGGTGCAGACGTATACGGTCAAATTATAATAAAGGAAGGGTTGATCAAGGGTCCTAATGGCACTCCAACAGCTCAGTGCACGGCTTTAGGATGGATCATATCTGGCCCCACACATAGAGTTGATAATCATCAATCTCTTTCGCCACATTGTCATCACAATGTTATCATAAGCATGCATTCTCAAGAAAATGAAAATGAATTGCTGAAGAGATTTTGGCAAATCGAGTCCGATATATTCGAAGAAAATATACTAAATGAAGAAGAGAAACATTGTGAGGAGTTTTACAGCAAAACTACTCAGCGAGACTCAACAGGTCGGTACATAGTTAGACTTCCTTTCCGCGAGATCGATCCGCAATGTAAATATGGGAATTCGAGAGATATTGCACTCAAGCGATTTCATCTTCTTGAAAGGCGGTTCGAGAAGAACGGGTCATAGGTGACACCACATTAACTTTCGAAGAGCTGGCTACTATTTTGACTCAAGTCGAGGCATGTCTTAACTCAAGACCTCTGTCGATGTTGCCAAATGATCACAGGGACCCCGCACCTTTAACTCCGGGAAATTTTCTCGTCGGTGAACCTTTATTGATTGTTCCTGAGCGTACATATGAGCATAGTAACATTAGTACTCTTCGACGATGGCAAATGACTCAGAAGATGGTACAGAATTTATGGAGAAGGTGGTCCAATGAGTATTTGGTGAATTGTTTGCAAAGGTACAAATGGTCTAAGATCACTTCAGAACCAAAAGTCGGGGATGTAGTTTTAGGTAAGGAGGAAAACCTTCCCCCAGCTCGTTGGTTATTAGGTAGAGTAGTTGCTAAGCATCCAGGACCTGATCAGATTACTCGTGTAGTAACTTTGAAGTGTGGTCAATCTTTGTTAAGAGACCAACGTCTAAATTATGCCTTTTGCCGGTCACTAAATAAATGTGTTTATAGGTTTGATATTTTTGATCCAATAAAAGTTTTCTATGTTAGTATGTAATTGATGTAAGTTTTAATTAAGATCGTAAGCTAAGATAACAGTGTTCAATTGTATAAAATGGTGTATTGTCAAATTTTAATTCCCACGCAAAATTGTCTTTATGGTGGGCGGTAAAGTGAAGAACGTTTGATAACGTTCTTGGTGGGCGGAATGTTTAATTCTAAAAAAAATGTAATTAAATAATATCTATAATTAATACCTAACCTAAAAATATGTAAACTGATGACAGCGATTTCATAATAGAAGTTGTTTTGTTTTCTGACCAATAGATGGCGCTGTCTCGTTCGTAAATCGCGATGTTGGGATTTTTTGTAATTAGCATAAGTCATCAGCATTTTTATGATTATATACTTCTACCAAGCGAGTACGATTGTTTTATTCTCACGTCCGTAGTGGCTTCCGATAACTGGCTTTGACATTATACAGAGATGTTTAAGAATATATAATTACATATTTAAACAAGAGTGGAATTTTGATAGCTCAATGTTCAAGTGTTCGCTTTTAATACAATAAACAAGAGCAACCCAAGTTCAAATTCCCTGTTACCACCAACTAATATATTAATTGCAATTTTAAGTGCTGACTTAGTACGTATTTTAGACTAATACCAGCAATTGCTACAGAGGATTGCCCTGCCAGCAGTGATATGTATATGGCTATCACTAAATAAGGGTGAAAATCTTAATTTTAACGTTTTAAATTAATAAATTATAAAGTGAAAATATGACAAATACTTTCGCGTTTCGTCTGGTGAGTGAGGTAGCCGGAGCCCAACTTTCATAAAGTTGTCAACGCCTCTGTAACCGTCAGGTGTAGCAGATGTCCATGGACGGCGGTATTCACTTACCATCAGGTGAACAGTCTGCTCGTTTGGCAACTTTTCACATAAAAAAATAAATGAAAAAAATTTTTACCAATTTTATAAATATAGAATATGAATTACTTACTAGCATAGGTTTGATTCCACAGATTATCTTAATCTAAGAGCTTTATGAAAACAGCAAACTGCAGATTCAGTAACATTATACGCGTGGCTCGGAATATTTTAAAGGAAAACCCCGACTACATTAAACGTGTTTAAATATACCAACGGATTCCAATATAAATTCCTAGCGCTCTGAAACTGAATTCCGTAATCTGAATCCTAAGTTCTTTTTACCATGATATAATATATCCTTCTGCTTTGAAAAATAAAACGGAAGTTCGACTTGATAAAATTCTTGTCCTCTGAATAGCAAGGGAGGACAAGAAAAATACGACATATATATATATATATATATATATATAGAATAATACAAGAAATATGAATAAAAAAATCTGAATCTTTTTAGTCCCTAAGGAAAAATGAAACATTTTCTTGTCAGGAAAAACGGTCAAACATAATTTGAAGTACGGACATGACATGATTCGCTGTCAACTTCAGACTTCCAATCAAAAGTCTGAAGAAGATACAGGTCTAACTAATGACAAACTATGAGGTTTATATTCATCGTGAAAACTTGTCTGTATAGAAAAAAGAATTTACAACAGCTTAATAATGGACTGTGTGCAAAATGATTTAAATTTATTGCGAAAAATCTTAGATCAGAAATTGTGGATTATGAAAATCAGTTCTGCTACAATATTGCTTAACATTGCTTTACTTCGTTGATTACGTTATGTAGTTCTACCACTACTTACCATTAAGCAAAAGAGGCTTTCTCCCAACAGTTTGACCTACATACATGACATGCGGTTGCTAAACCAAGCTCGGTAACTTAATTTCCAATGACATGTGGATACCGACATACCACTCTACTTCCATTTAGGAAGGACAAACCGCTGCTTTTTGCAATACTAGCTGATGCCCGCGACTACGTCTGCGTAGAATAGGCTGAAGGCGTAACATTCAGACAGAAAGTCAGATATACATAAAATGTATATATAAATTATGGCCTATGTCTTATTCTGATGTATAAGCTATATGATTGTAAAGTTTCATTAAAATACATCCATACATGCAAACATTCGCGTTTATAATGTTAGTAAGGATTAGTAAGGATTATATGTTGATGTGCCCTGTGTGCCGAGATGACTCACAGGCGCCATTGTTAAGCTATTCGCTTCGGCGTTGGGGGCGCGAAAGTAGTATTTTTATGAACCATAGAAATTATTCCGGATCTGGGTGTTTGTATCCCAAGGAAGGTTTACGTCAGACAGGCGGCCGGCCGAAAAAACATAGCTAAAAACCGCATACGGCATGATTCACATGTTGTGCCGACCCGCATACGGGCAGAAGGATGAGTGATGTAACTTGTGTGCTGATTAAAAATATGTGCCAGGTTATGTGAAAAGGTTCCGCTTCAAAACGAATTAGTCGAACGTATCTATAATTATATGTCACACCGCTGAGCAATGAGCTGTTCTTTACTGAGGCTGTTAGGGTCATAGTCCACCACGCGACCCCACTGCGGCAGACCTTACATAACTTCGAAATTTTGTTTTGTTATTATTATTCAACGCATCTACTAACCTTCGCGTGTTGCAGGTGTCCGTGGGCGGCGGTAATCACCTAATATAATCGAAACCCCCTTAATGTGGTACTTACCGTCCGGTTAAGTACCACGATCTCACAAGAGACTGTCGTGAAGTGGAAATGTTATAATTCTGCCTTTCGTCTCGGAAGTGATGTAGCTGGGGCCCACTTTATTAAAGGGAGGCCACGCATCTGCAATCTTAGGAGTGTTGCAAATGTCAACGGGCGACGGTTATAACTTAACATTAGTTGAACCACCAACTCGTTTGCTACCTTCTGACATAAAAAAATCTCTTGGTCGCTTGACAAGTTTAGCTTAATAAAAACAACGAAATGGTTTTGTGGCCGCCAATGGTTTATGCGTTTGACACTACCAGCTGAACCAAAAACAAAACGATACATGTACGTAAATCATCATCATACTCCGTGAAGGGGGGGCCTAGGTGGTGCCGTCACAATATGTTAATCGTACTGTAAGTTGTTTTGGCTAGATTTTTATGAACAATTAATGATCTGTGGGTCACACAAAAACTTGCCCCCGTGTGGGACCCCCGGCGCTGAAACCAATAGCTTAGCAATTACCCCACCGAGTCATATGTACGTAAATTAGGACACTAATTCCAATTTTTTACATCTAATACAGATTTGTTTTATTAATTTTACATGATATGCGGCATAGTTTTCTAGACTATTTATCAATTTTAAAGGTTGTTAAAGGCTTCAAAAATACAAAGCGTATGAAAGTTCCAAATATTTGAGGCATCTTGCTCTTAAAAGCATTTAAAACATGCATGCCTCATGTATAAAGTGATAATAACGTAAAGATTGCGCTGCATTGTTGAATAATTTCGCATAGTTTAAGCGCCATTGTGAAAGGAATGCAAAGTTTACTCCCACGTTTTCAGGGAATTGGATTAATCGTTCATAAAGTCGTAAATTCTTTAAGGACTTTATGAACGATAAATCCATTTACAAATACGGTTGCATTAAAGGCATAGAGTCTGCTCTATGCGTTTAATACATCTATTAGAGTTTGGGAGGGATAATTCCTCATAGCTCTTTATGTCATATGATTTCTTTGATTTTCGAAATGCTATGAATATGAATAGGTAATACGATGCATTATTTTATGTTAACACGCCCAGTCAACGCCCATTGTCACACCCACGGGTCAATGCCCGTACCGAATACATTGAATATCTCAAGATTTCTTTAATCTTTATTGTGAATAATTTTTTACAAAATTTTGCACTCCCTATTATACGTATTTAGTGCTTATTTTTTTACATACTTGTTATAATGATAAATTAATGAAAGTACGAAACACATAACAAACCATACAATTAGTTTTTTGTAGTTTAAAGTTTTTAAGCCCAATGGTGATAGACAGTTTATACTTAGGTACTTTGCTTACACTAGTCTGGATCACTCTTCTTGTTTTAACCCTGTTACTGCTCGTACACAATTAAAAAGTGACGTTAATAACTGCTTATACTAACTGGCTAACTATTTCCTTTTTTGCTTCTTGAACGGCCATCTTTGTGGGCCATCGAATGTTTCTTAAAATCACCCAAGAGAAACAATATATTTAGGCGTATTGTACAATTTACAATATGCTTAAATATATTATGGTATTATTTTTACATAAATTTTATTGTCTTTAATCAACATTTAAAAATTATGGAGAATAATTTTATAGAAATCCTATTCAAAACTGTGTTATATTGTTCTGAAATAACTAAATTTCTTAAGTTCTGAAAAAATTGTCTTAAATAACTACAATAGCATCGACATAATTATATGTTTTATTTGAAAATGTTCATCACATATATTTTAATAAAAAATTTATTTACAACTATCTTCATCATTAGATGTTTATTGCTTGTTTATTAGCCCAAATATTCAATTCATGTTTAGATTCTTGCAAATTTCCAAATTATTGAAATATAACAAAGTTATGCCAGTTTATAAATCAGGCTCAAGAGAAAATACTTCTAATTACCGTCCCATTTCTATCTTACCAGCCTTAAGTAAAATATTAGAGAAAACAATGCTGGATCAGATGCTAATTCATTTTAATAAATATGAAATTTTGAACCAGCATCAGTTCGGATTTACGAAAGGTCTACAACTGATGCTGGAGTAGAATTAATTTCGCGTATAATGCAGTCTTGGGAAACATTCCATGACACTATTGGTGTGTTCTGTGACCTTTCCAAGGCATTTGACTGTGTAGATCAATAATAAACAGGTAATAGAATACATGAATTTCCTTACGACGTATTAGGGAATTATGATTATTTTTAATAAAAACTAAGATTTTTGATAAAAAACATTTTTAACCAACGATTGATCGTCCAAATTGACAGATTACTTAATAAAACTTTTGACAGCTCGTTGATCACCGAAAAATGCTTTCAGAAACTCGATTTTCTGTTGATTGTCCGTTAATCAGTGACTAATTGCAAATCAAAATTGTTTTCAGACGTTCTAGCAACTCAGATCATCGTAAATTAAAATTGATTGCGCTTTCGGAAACTGGGTGTAAGTGTCGTGTCGGGCTGGTTTGCGACAAATAATTTACTTTTGAACGCCTCTAAGACTAAATGTATCAGATTTACTTTATCATAGCTGTCTCACAAACCAGGAATCTTTATTGATGACAACATCCTACCTCTTGAGGATTCAACGGCATTTAACCACGATATTTGTATTGGAAAAGCAAGCGATACGGGCTGTCTATGGCCTGGGTCCGGCTTATTTTTAAACAAATAAACATCTTAACGCTGCCGTCGCTATACATACTTGAGAACATCATGTATGTACGGAACAACATATACCTTTTTCCAAAAAGAAACATACCACATCGCGTCGGGGCCGTGGTGACACGTTGGAAATAGCGAGGTTCAGACTAGCTAAAACCAGGAAATCGTTTTTTGGTAGATGAATTACCTTATATAATAGAATAGGTGACATCCACAAACAATTAAGTGTTAATAATTTCAAACATTTTGTAAAAGCCACCTTAATAGAAAAGGCCTATCATAATTTCGAGGAATACATTGAGGACAAAGATGTGTGGAAATGACTCTGGCTCTGCACTTGCAAGACCCCTGCAAATTATACTAAAATATTTTATTATATATATACTTAAATAACTAATATTGCCGGTTCTTCTTGCATGTCTAGCTTAGTGAACCGGTGGTAGTTTTTGACGTTCGATAAGAAAAATAAGCTTATGTTGAATAAAAAAATTTTGACTTTGACTTGACTTTGAGATGTAATAACATACATTCCTTCATCATTTCACAGTACAAATTACACAATTGCAAATAATAAATGCGACATTCGACATCAGCATATTTTACGTAATTTACGGTGGTACGGCCACGCAGCAACCTGGGCTGTTGCACGAATGGGCAGGCTCGTATGGGTAAGCACCACGACATCACAGAAGACCGGCGTAAAGTGGAAGTATAATACTTTCGCGTTTGGTCTGGTGAATGAGGTGGCCGGAGCCCAATTTTCAAAAGGTTGTCAACGCATCTGGAACTCTCGGGTGCAGCAGATGTCCATGGGCGGCGGTATTCACTTAACATCAGGTGAAACGTCTGCTCGCTTGGCAACTTTTCACATAAAAATTGTATACTTATTTTCCGAAGCAACTCTGTTGGCACCTGATTGCTGACACTGTGACAATGGGCTAGAGTCCTTTTCTCATTTTTTTAAAGAGCATTTACGACCATTTTTTTATAATAATTATAATAATTTTTATTTCAGACAATACAAAAAACTAAGTACACTGTCTATTGACCATTTTTACAAACCAGTATTTTTAGACCACCATTTAAGGGCATTTACGACCAATTACAACACTTGATGAGCAGAAATCACTGAGGAGTGGTGGTGAGAGTTCGATAGTTTGGTAATTGAGTACGAAAATTATTCATGCTTACTCAGTATATTTTCGGCCCGAATTAGTCACAATTTTGTTTAAATTTATTTTATTTTTAATCACTTTGTTAACGATACAAACACAAATCTCTACAGCGTAATTCATATTGGAAAATCCCACGAATAGTAAAGAATGTGGAACATAAACTTTACTGAAATACAACAACCCTAACAATGATCGATTGCGCTCTCTGTTTGTAGGTCGCGGACGGCGGACTACTGAGGTTTATTCGAGGTTTTTCATTCGAAAGTTTTCCAATAAATCATATTATATACTTCCACTTCAATGGTAATAATTTATACGACTATTGATATTAGTTGATTCCGCACACTTTTAGAGCAATCTGTTAAAGCTGATATATGAAAAATGTCGGAGTACTTCGTAACTTAGCATTGCAGGCAGAAATGAAAAAAGAAAATGTGGGTAAAAAATTAAGCTTTCCAAGTTTCATCATGCTTATTTAGAGTTAACGTAACATATGAACCATAACGTATACCCGTACAGAAAATACAAATATTTTTTTACACGTAAGTATCTGCATGTCACAGGGATTCAATCATACGACCGTAACCTTTTTGAACAATATATGACTTATCATACCAGTCTATAATTCGATTTTTAACAACTAACATAATTTAAAAAATCTATACTGCCATTATTCATCATTTATCATTTACCCGTAAACATGGATGGTAATATAATATATAATAATAAGAATCTTCACGACTGTCAAATTACCACATAATCACAGAGTAGAGACTTTTCAACTACATGCATTTTATTCTCGAATAACTGATCGCTATTTAATCATGCAGATATTAATTCTGGAAGATATCTCAGAGGGATTTTCATAATCCATTTACTTGAACCTTTCTATGGCAAAAATGGCCTCGTTTATGGCAAAAAGTATTTCGAAATACAAACGGCCAGCCAGACAACAAAGCGATCCTGTAAATGCTTCCAGATTTATCTCAAGATAGGTGAACCTTAAAAAAAAATAATTTACAGAAATGTCTGAACAGAAAATTATATTTACCATAAAAGATTTATGCGCATTGTGTAACTATCATTAATCATACCAG